CAGGCCTTCAGCATCACCACAGCTACCCCACGTAGCCATCTGGAAACGCTCCACAACGGCACCATCAACCCCAAACGCTGCCTCCAGGTCCGATTCTGCCCCCAGCCAAGCAGGACCCGGGTGCCTCCAGCACCCAAGACATCTCCGGTGGCTTCCCTTACGCCTCTTCCAAAAAGAAAGGGTTTTTGGAAGCGGGATGGGGGAAAGAGCAGCAAAGCCATCAAGATAAACAGCCCGTGGGTCAAGCCGGAGCGGCTGCCGTGGAGGAGTGCGGCCGATCCTCTGAGCAGATGCTCCTTCCTCCTGCCAAAAATCACCGCGCTGCCGCCTCGGAGACGCGGCGCTGCGCAGGGACCCGGCCCGCGGCTCGGCCACGGGGCGCCCGCCCGTCCGCCCGGAACTGCTCCTGGGCTGGTCAACGAGCTCCATCCACCCCGAGCCAAAGCCACCGGGAGCCACCACCCGCGCGAGCGCGGGGAGCCAGGCCCGGGCCACGCTCACCTTGCGACACCCGTGGTCCTCCTCCTCCTTCTCCTGGCTCACCCGGCCGGGCTTTTTGCAGATAGAGGGCAGGGTCTGGTTGCACGGGCTGTCGTTCCACCTCCCTTCCTGGACGAGGTGGGAAGGAGCAGCTCTGAGCCCATCCAGCTGGAATCTCCCACCCTCCCAACGCAGGTGGGACCTGTAGATTTTCCTCCCCTGCAGCGAATCCCCAGGGCCACCATGCTGGATCCCTCCATCCCCAGCAGCCCTCAAATCTGTTCAAGCTGGGATCAAACTGGGCTCCGCGCTCCCACGGGACGTCTCCTGCCCCCTCGGCGCCTCCGGCTCTCACCGGGCCCCAGATGGTCACGCAGTCCTCCAGGCTGTCGCGGAAGTTGTTGGGCTCGAAGGGATGCCAGTAGGTGAACCTCACCGGCGTCCCGTCCGACCACTCGAAGTTCATCTGCAGCTTGAGGTCGTTCAGGCCAATCCACAGCTCTTCCACGTCTGCCAAAACAGGAGGGCAGGGCTGGCTGGGGACACGTCCTGGGCTGGGGACGCGTTCCCTCCCCGTGCCCTGGTGAGATCCCGCAGGAAGCGGCTCTCCCTGCGCACCCAGCACGACGGGGTGAGGATGGTGGCCCAAGCAGGACCAGGACCGGGCAGTGTCACTGGCCCTGGTCTGCACAGTGGATTTGCCCGCTGCGTGGCCGTCCCGGCCCTTCAAGGCTGAGCGCAGGGCTGCTCTCCTGCGCAACGACGGGGAGAAGGAGCTCCACTTGCAAGAGGTTCCCGTAGCGAGGCGCTGGCAGCAGCCCCATGACGGAAGGCAGGACCCGCAGGCTCCCTTCCAGCCAGCTACTGGTTTGAAACCACTCGCTCCAGCTGCATCTCACCATGTTCCCATCCCTGTCTGCTCCCGTGCTGGGATCGTGGCCACGTCTCCCTTCCTTCCTACACCCTCACTGACTCCTGCTCCATCTGCCTCAGCTCCTTCCAGCCCCAGCGCTGCGCTGGGACAAGCTGCTGCGGTGCAGGAGCCTGGTCGCAGGGTTTGTGTTTTTATGGAATAAGAGAAGCCCGGGCTGCTGATGCCGGGGCGACGGATGTCAGGAGCGCCGAGCGCAGGCTCCCCTCTCCCCTCACCCCTGCCTGGCGCGGCCCATCTCCCGCTCTGAAACCTTCCAAGGATCAGCCCGGCTCAGACAGATCCCTGACATGGGAAACTCCAACCCAGACTATTACGACTGGGCAATGTTAGAGCTGGAAAGGGAAACTTCGGAAGCCTTAAGCATGAGTTCACCGCTGACTTGACCTTACTGCAGAGGACAGTTTAATCAGGAGACTTGGACGTCCCAGAGAGATTTAGCAACAAGTAAAGCACTAGCAGCCTCTTCCAGCAAGGCCCAAAGCAGGTACGGGGGGTTTTTTGCCTCTACATTTGCTATTTGATTTCATTAAGCAAATGGGATGAGTGACTTTTGCAGATGGGGCTGTGCTGTTCTGCTGCCCTTGGAAGAGCTCTGGTGGGCACGGAGGCACCGTCCCCCTCTGGGCACCAGCCCCACAGCCCTGGGGACACCCCTGAGGCCCCGGCTGCTGCCTCTATGGGGAGGAGACGCATTTGGGGCAGGGGCTCCTTGGGGAACGGGTCCCCCCCGGGCAGGACGGCCGCGCTCCCGCGTCCCCGCGCCAGCCTCACCTTGCTTGATCTGCTTGGTGACGAACTCCAGCTCGGGGAGCGTGTGGATGCTCACGAGGTCGGCGCCGCTCCGCAGGCAGGTCTTCTTGGCGTCCTGCCAGCTCCTCTTCTCCGCCACGAGGCGGTAGCAGTTGGACTGGAAGGGCTGCCAGCTGGGCTCGCAGTCCACCTTCACCTCCGACCACGAGTCT